TCTCTCTCTCTCTCTCTCTTCGTCTCTTTCTTTTCGTCCTCGCTGATCTTCCTCGGTCCAGGGCTCTGAGCTCTGCAGCAGCCCCACGGCGTCGACGAGCTCCACGAGGTTCGCCGTGTCGACGATGCCCACGCCGCGGCCTTCGCAGTGGCCGGGAATGCCCTGCGCATATCCTGAGGGATGTGAAGCACAAAGAAAGACATCTGGGGGCTCGTTTTGGCGGAAGGCAACAGAAGGCAACAATGCTTGGACTTTCTGACTTTTGTTGCCGCCATACTTTGGAATTCAAGACTTTGAGAAGATTTTGTCGAATGCTGCAAATTGAGAGAGAGAAACTCAACACATGGGAGAAAATCTCCAAATCTCTGGACCATCAAGTTTGACACTCATGGTGGGCCATGGCTCGTTAAACCGAGTCTCTCAAATGAGGATTCATCCGCTTCTTGGGGTCCAGAAACCAGACCCTCAGAAGCTTGGCTGCACGGCTGGCGTACTCCTCCCGCTGTGTGAAGAACCAGGCGTAGGACAAGGTGATCACCGCCTTCAGCATGGCACCGAAGCGTCCGTTGTCCCCCACCTTGCCGCGGTCCGGGTTCGGCTGTCCGTCCTTCCGGATGTAGGGCAGGCCGTCTGGCTTCGAGGGGTCCGGCCACCAATAACGACCCAAGCTGCAGTAGTCGTGCACATCTCCTTTCTTTGACCATAGAAGCTTGGAACCATGTTGAGACAAAGGTTCAAGCTGAGAGACGACATCATGCCCAAAAAGAACAAGACACTGAAGAAACAAGAGGAAACAATCATTTCTTCGTCCCAAGTCTCCGCTGGGTGGTGGTGTCTCCTTCGAAGTCACCGAGAAAGGTCCGGCGGACAATTTCTGGTCGGCCTCCTGCAGCAGTGCCGCCAGCGGCGCCGCCAGCCCAGCTGCGTCCGTCGCACCGTCCGCGCCGACGGCGCCCGGCAGGGCGGGGACCTCGAGGCGGTGCCGGTGCTCCAGAAGGACCTCTGGATCCAACAGGAAGACACGCATGGCATAGGCAGAAGTACTCCAAAGAGATCCAAAGGCTTGGAAGGTGTGACTACCTACTCCCAATTGTGGAAGCTCCAAAACGGAAGATGACATACAGGCTAATTGGGATGTTGCAGTTGGATGTTGTTTTCATTCCTAGCTTTGGACATCGGACTTGCCATGCGCAAAGTCTTGGTTGAACTTTTATTTGGCGATTCCTTTGCTACTACTTTTGCATGGTTTTACCGCCATCGCAGCTTTCAATGATACCTGGTGTTGAGCTCAAACAGCTTCTGAGACCAAAAACTCGAAGTGAGCATGGGCCATTGACCAGTCAGTGAGCACATGCGTCCCTCCAAACTTGACTGGGACTCTAAACTTGACAGACTTCTTCCTGCCCACATTCAGGTTCTTCCAAGGGTTCTTGTGCATTTGCAAATGTGGCTAGCCAAATTGCTCATAACCACTCACAACAAACAAAGCTCACAAAAACAAACAGCAAGCACTTCTGCCTGGCAGCCAAAGCATACAAATGGCGAAACGCCTGCCAACAAACAATGCAATGTATCCACACGACCGGTGTGCTAACTCAACTGGCTACTCAGTCCTGCAAGTGACACCGGTTGTCCACCAACCCCATCGGTAGACGTGGAAAAGCCGCCTCAGGTGAACTCACAAGGCTCGAAAAGGTGAAAGCGCTTGTCCCGAGTCGGACCATGAGCAGGGCAGCGATGGAGAGAGGTTCCTCCAAAACGAAAACAAACGGATCTGATCAGATCTGATCGAATCAACGAAATCAACGCAAAGAGATTCGTTCTTTGAAGTGTCCTGGTTGAAGGTGTAGCGTCCTCCACCAAGACAGACCCATCCGATCGCCATGTGTGTTGCCATATGTACACCGTAACCTGTGGCTCACGCAGTCAGAGCAACAATACCCGAATCTGCAAGTCAGAGTCAACAAGCTTTTGAATCCGTTTATACTTGCTTGGAGTGAAACATGCAGCCAGCCGAACCTGTGTCCAAGGAGGTCTTCTTCCGCAAACTTCTCAAAGTCCGCAAAGCATCTAGATCTCCTGCAACATCTCAGTGAGATTTCCAGTTTACAATTCTGCTCAAGCACTCTAGCTGCTAGCTATATCCTGGTTTGTCACCTCGCCTGTGCCGGCCATGACCATCCCCAACGCCATGGCCACAGTAGATTGGCAGGTCTCCAAAGTGATCACGTCCAAGTCGTCTGCAGCCGAAAGGCAAGCGGCAAACACAACGTCCCGGCGAAACCTTTACCGGATGCAAAAATCACCAACGAAACATATCTCTGGGACTGGTCCATATCAGTTCCAGCAAGCAAAAGGATGATGCGACATGTTGAAGTGTAGACATGTGTCTACACACATGAAATCCTGCTTGCTTGGAGTGTTCCCATTCCCGCCTGGCGCCGGTCGCGAGGCCATGAGTGCCGGGTGCGCATCGGAGCGCTTGGCATCGCGGAAGGCCAAGAGTCTGTCAAGATCACAGACCTCTTACAGTAGTCTGCAAAGAACCTTTCTTAGGAAGGGCTTTTGTTAGCTAGATGGAAGATGTACTCTTAACTTGCAAGGGCTCGGCTCTGGAATACCTTGGCTCGACTCGGCCCCTCCTTCGACTACTCGTTTTCTACTTTTCTTGCGAAAGTACAGGCTCCTGGCCTGGCAATGAGGAGCTGCTTCGCGGCTTTGTTGGAAGAGCCGGCGAATCGTAGACCCAACGCCTTGGTCGACTGACACGGCGAATCTCAGCTCCTGTGGACAGTCATTCTGAGCAGCACACCAAGCAGCCACCTCACGAGTATGGCAGCGATGATTTTCTTTTTTGCACGTCTTCTTTGAAAGCTGCAGTTTTAAAGTTTTTAGGAGTACAAAAAGAATGGTCTTAGTCAAAGCATTTTGTTTGGCCGTGTTTGGACAGAAACTGATGGAGCTTGGACACTACCGAGAAAACGACAAACGGCCCGAGCTTGCCTGCGGCCAGATTTGCCTGGCAGAATCAACTAGGCCAAGCAGGTGGCCGAAATTATTCCACATAAAGCCAAAAACCTGTTTGAGAAGTATCCAGGCAAAAGCACCTGTGGATTGTGATACTCCACTCTCTATCTCCGACCTTCGTCTGCCCCACCAGAAGCCAGTCCAGGTCATCCTGGGCAGAGCGCTGACAAGTAAGGAAGGCACTTGTTGAGGAAAGCCGGGCGAGTCCCAGCTACACGGAGTCAATCACCTCGAGTTTTCAGAAATACGTTCTGTTGCAAAACGTGAGAGCTATCTTCCTGTGCCGGTCTGCTTCCGGCTTTCAAGTGAAAGAACTCATATCCCAAATTGAACACGCCTTTGAGTAGTGCAGTGGTTGTGGTTCTTGTGCTCAGCTTCCTTCTAGCTTTTGACGCTCTGGAAGTTTCATGAGATTTCACACATGTAGCTTTGCTGAGAGCAGCAACGGCCCTTTCAAGCAAACGAACCAGTGAAGAGCTACCAAGCAAAGTGTCGCCAAACATTCTACAGCTTCCAAGTTCGAATCGAATGCTGCCAGGTCTCAGTTGCATTCTCTTCGTTCAATGCCAGCAGGAATGCTGGCACTTGCCTCATAGCAAAAGTTCGAGTACTCAGCTAACGGCAGCAGCAAGAAGCACTTTCGTTGCAAAGCCACAACACATGACGTCTGTGTCGCCGTGTGCCTCTCGAGCCATGCTTCCGTGGGTTCGATCTGGTCCCACCTCGGCGCACGATTGAATCACACGTTCAAACACCACATTCCCACTGATCGAAGCCCGAGGCTGCTACGGGCAATCTAGAGTAGTAACGGCCTCTAACCTAGCAGCGTCCTTGCTATTGGTAGTAATCCCAAAACCCGTTCGAATCCGGAAAAGAACGGCGAACTCAGGACTTGAAGTCCCTCCAACCTTTCTTCCTCTTTCTATCAAGAAAGCCTCATGTGGAAGATCCGCCAAGCGACAGAATGAGATTCTTCGCCACAATTCGAAGCATCGCAAAGTCTGGGCCTTAGAAGGTTCACTGAGAAGCCGGGTGACCAACCCGATGCCGTGGACGGCCACTCCGAAAAAATACCAATCGAGAAATGCAATGAGCAGGTCAGAAAGAAGTGAGGAGAAAGAACATGTCAAACCATCTTGCTACAAAATGGCTCTCCACAATAGGTATCGGTATGATTGCAGTATATGTTTAGAATATGCAATGTCATTGTGAAAGAGCTGCTCAGCTGCTCTCACCGAGAGCAAGGCGCAATTGCTCCAGCTGAAACCTGTGGCGCAATCGCACAACAATCGCTGGATGGTTTGTTCTGTTGGGTTTTCGTTTTTCATCGCATCTCAACTCTCCTCTCCTCTCCTCTCCAAAGCGGTTCTCCTCTCTCCAGCGGTTGCTCACGTTTCGGATGCTCGAACTGAGGACTCTGCAAGTTCTGCGGGATGGCCACACGGGAAGCAACCGCTTCACAGTTGGTGCCTCACAGCCGGTTTCTCAGTTGGAGAGATCAACAATCCGAGTGCATGCCAACAAGGGTAGATGATCCAAATCATCCATATGATCCAATGTAGATCCATATGATGTAGACATCCCATTATCCTTCTACCACTTGAATATGAAACGTATGTGTGAAGCTATCCAGTATAGATCGAGGTCTGGTTGGTCGTCTGCTGCAGTTGCCTTTCTCTTTCCGTCCGTGCCGAAGGACCACCACCACCGTCGCCGCTCTCTGTGGTTCCCGGGCGGAGGAAGACTAACGCCAAGGCGATGCACCCCGCCGGCGCGGTGATGCAGGTGTTGATGCCCTGGCGATGCATCGTTCGCCCAGAACCGTGTCAAATATGGAAACCCTTTTAGTTAATCTACTAGGAACAAGTGCCTTACTAGTAGTAACAAGAAGCTATTAAATTCTATTTATTGTTTCTAATAGCTTCTTGTTACTACTAGTAAGGCACTTGTTACTACTAGTAAGGCACTTGTTCCTAGTAGCGAACCATTGGCCACAATGGAAACCATTTTGACAAATCTCCGAAGTTCACATCGAAGGAACCCCAACCGTCATTGACTGACCGCTGCGGCGAAAGGAGGGCACAAATCTTGCCACGACTTGAAAACCTTTTTTTTGCATACCTTCTGCAACCAAGAAAGAGCCTCTTGCGGAGGGCTTTGACAAAAACACACACGACGAAAGGCTCGGCTCTTCTGTCCTCCGGCTCGGAGAGTTGACACGTCGGCTCCTCCGGCGGAAGGGGTAGGAGAGCCTATGCATCCAGAGGGGCTGCTCTGGATGGCTGGTGAAACACATCAAAGGAAGAAATCATTGCTCTAGATTCTAGATACATGTCTAGAATCATGTCTTTCAAATGTGTTTCTTTGGGTTCTGCAGGGTTAGACCAGTGTTTTATCCACTGGTCCAGTTCCGCTCTCGTGATGCGATCTACCCAAGGTGAAAGTTGAGAAGAAGTCCTAAGCCTTTGCATGACATTTACAGTTGATCGTTCAACCACAACACCTAAAGCCAGTGCCAGAAACAGAAACAGGGCCAAAATAGATGCTAGCAGTTTGAGATTCCTTTCCAAACACAGTTCGTCCGTCCCTTCCATCTCCGACACACTGTTGGACCATCTCAAATCCAAATGACCTTGCCTGTTGTCGCTTGGTCTCGCGTGTGGCTACACCTGCAAGGCACTGCGAATGAAAGGAAAACAAGGTCCTTTAGCAACAAACATGAAACAAGAAACGAGAGAAACAACAGAAACAAAAGAAATTAGAGCACCACTCAAATCACCTAGTGATTTGCAAAAGGGAAAAACTCAGCTTCTTCATCGGAATCCAAACCCACAGAGCGTGCATTCTGCCTGGCATCGGCATCTCTGGCCCACCGAGGATGTAGCCTGAAAACAGCTCGAAGCTCAGTGCTCATTCCGTCTGAAGCAGAGTGGGGGCAAAACAAATCTCCACATATCAGTTCATTTTCCGGCAAACAAGCAAACTCTCCCCAACCCTAGGGTTTTCATCCCAACCGCTTACTAGACCCCAAAGAGTCCTCCAAATTGGAGCTGATAACTTCAGCCCACTACAGTTCCAGCCGGTTCAATCCAATGCCGACATGGCGAAGAACGGTCTGGGTGCCACCGGCGTAAGAGCCACGTGTCCAGCCTGAGACGCTGAGATGAATTCGGCGAAAGACACACCGCGGGATTTTGATTGTAACGACTGCGGTTCATGTCAATCTGTAGAAGTATTTCTGGAAATCGTCAGCTTCCAAATCCCCAAAAAGAAAGTCGTTTGCGAGTCCAGAAAACTCTCAAGAAACCCAACCGGCACCATGCAAACTCAAGAAACGCTCTATTTTGGTTGGATCAGTCCTTCGAAATCTTTGATACCCTCGACGGGCCGAAGACTTTCCAGGTCATCCGGCTGAAGGTCTGCCAGCCCGGCGGCATCGGAGCCCTGTCCAAGACAAACGCAGCCCAAGGCGAAGCCTGCCACGTGGAAGGACTGGGACTGGCAAAGGATGGAGGGAGAGTCCGAGGATTCTTTCTCTGTGTACGTTTCCTGCAGATCTTACCTTGGTGTGTCGACAAGTTGACTATTTGAACATCTCTGTGTGGTTTGAGCTTTTGTAAACATGTTTTTCAGTTGTCTCCTCCGCACTCGTGGGAATCATCCAATACCGGCACTCTGCCAGGAGGTGGGGGTTGTACCTGTATCTCTACACACTTGGAGCGATGCGTGTACCCTGATAGAGTAAGTAGTTTCCAGGACTTGCAGAAATGAAGTAGCCGGAACATTTCAGTAGCTTCGTTGAAGACAATAGCTCCCCATTCTTGGTCAAGATTGGAAGAAGGTGGGTGATGCCCCCTCGTACTTGTTGTCTACAAAGGCACCATCGAGACTCAGAACCTTCTGAAGCTGCACATCTTGGCAACTATAATGGGTGCCAACAATTTGAAAAACACATCGATTCACCGGAAGAGGCTGGCCAATGGTCACGAGACAAGGCTCAGAAGCTTCTTATAAGCCTCTCCATGAAGTACTTGACTGCCAAACAACCTGACAGAACCACTGCCTAGCCCGACCAGCGAGCTCATCAAACAAGTGTTTTTGTGACAGGGGAGGGCTTTTCTCTGTCAGCCAATCTTAACATTCTTGAACGTTAATGGTACATTGACAAAGTGCCTTCGGCACACGGTAAGAAAAGAGGTAGCCTGAAAACAGGTGAGAGAAACAGCCCAAACTCCTTCGCGTAGAACGAATCTGCCGATGCCAGGCTTACTTTGCTTTAATGCTAGGTAAACACATTCTAAAGGACATGTTAAATGTTTCATCAAGAAACATCCGCCAAACAACAACTCCCATTCTCTTATAAATATCTTCTCAGCTACTGTTCTCAGGTATTTCCACCTCAGCAGCTGTAATGGAAGATGTTGGATCAAGCTGTATCTGATCCACTTCTGCTGTTGGAGCTGTAGGCTTCTCCTCACTCACCTGCCAGAATTTGCACCGAAAACTTCACATATGGGAGCTCAGTCAGAGATGATGAGGCGCTTTTTCCAAGAAGAACAACACCGGAGTTTGGAGGGTTTTCATCTTGACCTACGACCCAAGCTCAAGCTTGACTTTTACTTATCGGTCTCCAAGACCTTCTCTGCTCAACTGCTGCAACCACAGCTGGCCTCGCAAGCTGCAGGCCTTGCATGAACTCCACTCAGAGCAGCACATGATGCGAGAAAAGGTTTGATTTTCTTAAGGGTGCGTTTTCTCTTTTTATCTTGATGAGTACAGACAGACTCTTTTCAGGTTTCAAATCGAAGTGTCTGAAAGGTGCTAAGACCTGGCCTCTTCTTTGGCAGCGGCGCCAGGCGCAGCCGCTCGGGCAGCAGCCGGTAGATCACCTGGCAGCTGATTGCTGTTCTCTTGCTGCGAGTCACAAGTGAATTATGTCTCAGCTCCAGAGATGTGAATCCTCCACACATCCATTCAATCTATGCTTCACTGAGCCTTTTCACTCACTCCATGTCTCCATGTCTCTTCAGCTCGTGGCTTCCAAATGCTTGCCGTACGTCCTCACTACGAGCGGCAGGCGTCCGAGCCTCCTTCTGGCCTTTCATTCGCACCAGCCACCGGTGTGGCTCCACGGAAGTGTCCTCAGATATTTCGTCCACGCAAACCAGTGGCTTTCTGTCGATTGGACTCAAAGCCATGGTCGTCCATGACTTGATCTTTCTTGTCGTCTCGGACAGTCGAAGCGGTGAGCACAGCGAAGCAGCGCCGCACCGAAACTTGATCTTTCTTAAGCCAGTCCTAGCCTTTCTGAAGATTGACCAGCTACGTAGTTTGCGCTTAGCCCAGCTGTCGCAGTACGACTTTCATCCATGTCCAGCATTCACTCGATCGGCGCCTGGGTCACCCCACGAGTCGTAGGAGCTGGCCGAATTGGCCGTTGAGCTCAGCCTGTGGCGGAAGAGTCTGGGCCGAAGCACAGCATTTTTCTCAGTGACTCATAGAAAACATGCCAAATTCCCACATCAAACTCGGTTTCTGGCGCAGATCGGATGATCAATCCTGTTTCAAGCTTCACTACCCTGGTTAGGAAGATCCTGCACATGGCTTAACACGTTTGCTGTTGAGGGCACGAGGCACCCCATTTGGTGGTGGACTTGGTGGCGTAACTGAACGCTCTCCCCAGGACCAACGGGGATGTTTTCACACAAATGAAGTGTGGAATGTCAGACCTCCGTGCTTTTCTGCCTGCTGCACTAATCCGCGGATCTTCACCCGCCGCCCAGCGCGCAAGGCCTTGGGGGGAAACAGTCGAGAGAGACATCCTGGTGAAGCAACAAATCATAGAACATCCACTCATGAAATCTTGGAGAATCTCCAAGTTGCATGAGACAAATTTATGTCAAACTCCGGGGATGTTCCTGGGGGGCATGTGGAAGTTCCTTTGAAGTGAATGGGTGTATTCGTGCCGGGTATGGAATCCAACAATCCATTATTCGAAATTACAGAACGGCCGTCAATCTGAATGATGCAATGAACAGTTGAAATTGTCTGTTCACATGCCTCACGCGCGCAAAGCCGCAAGCTCACATCGACTCTGCTTTTTCGCCCTCTCCGTTGAGCTCTCCTACATCTGCAATCAGGAAACGGACACATCGGAGGGTCGGAAACGCTTCAAATGTGCTCGGAACGGTCGGGGGGGCCGTGGAGGCAACTCGTGGGTCGACCTTGTTTTCGGCTCAAGCACATGTCCGCCGGAAATCATCTGAGCATTTCGGGAGTTCAGAAGTGATAAGGTAGCAACAAGCCCAAGTGCAGCCGCAGATTAGCAGCCACATAAATAATCCTCCATATCTTTCATCAAGAAATCTGAAGTTTTGCTGAAAAAAAGAGTTCTATACAAATCTCCACACCCTTCGAAGACTTTGCCAGTGTCCGGGCAGCTTTGCTAGCAAAGCCTCACGGCTCTGTCGTCACTGCCTCTATCCATGTGATCTATGCCAACTATGCGATTCACAGGTTGGATGCCTCGACCTTCACCTGCCACTGCTCCCCAAACAATTCCAGAAAGAAGAAGGAAAGAATTGGAGAGCAATTCATGCCAAAGAAATGACTCCTCAGTGGCCCTTTTTTTGGATCCAAATCACTCTCTCTCTCTCTCTCTCCCTGTCCTATCTCGGCACTGCGGAATGATCCCACCTCATCCGGCGCTCGCATCATTGTACGCCGCCATGCTACGGACCGGTGGGGCGCTGGCGTAGCCATAGCTTCGTACATTCCTCGCTGGGAGAAAGTCGAGAAAGTTGCAAGATGCCAACTGGAGAAGTCTGAAAACTTGCCGGCAACATTGAATCAACCTCAGCAATGCTGAATTTCCTCAACACTCCCCACAATTGAGGGGCGTGCGTGTGCTCTCTCATGATGTTCTATACCGTCCACACACATTCACATTCACACATTGTCTTAAACAGCTTGCGTATTTGGTGAGTTCCTTGCTGAAAAATACAAATCTGTCTGTCTCTGTACTCACCCCGATGAATGAACTTCGCTCCTGTTGGTGGGCTCCGGAGGCGGCAGCCTGGGCTCCCAAAAGCAGGCGAAGATTGGGATGAACGGTGTTCGCCTATCAAGCTTACTCTGCTCTCAAACTGAGGGTGCCTCATCCTTGGTCTGAACTGATGGACTGGAGCGAAACGACTGGGATCAACGAAGTGTTCCACGACGTGTTCCACGACGTGTCTTGGTTCGACACAAACTCGACACACCTGGACTCTGGGCATCCGGACTGATTGAACTTATCATCTGCTTCGTCTCGGAGATCCTGGAGCAGTCTGGGCAGTCTGTTTACATCCTTTTCGTTTCTCGGGGCGGAGGATGAAGGGAAAGGGAGTTTGACAATGGTGAGACCAATCTGATGATTTTTCGCCATGGCTTTCGCTTGGTGACTGGTAACCCCTCAACAGATCGAGCAAACATTTCAGCACCTTTCGCTTCGCAGAACATCGAAGTCGATAGGTCAAAATGCCGGACCAAGACAAGGGTCATTCTGTAGGGTTTGAAGCTACACCGAGGCCAGTTGAACATTCTGGAGATTTAACAGTTGAACATTCTACAAGTCACTGCAATGCCACTGTGCAACTCACACCTCCCACCTGTTCATGAACAGTAAGAGGTTGGAGCTCCAAACTCCCAAAACCATCAGTCACTCTCACAAAGCAAGCTGTTTCTCCCCCAAGAGTTAAGACTTGAAACCCATATTGATGAACATATGACTGTCATGGCTGTGAAGGCACACTTATTGATCCTCTAGTGCCGCATACCCAAACACTCATAGTCACGTTAAACATGCTACGTGCTGCGTTTTCTCCTTGAACATATCACCACCATAGTGCTGGACACCAGGGTCCTGCCATGGAGGCTTGCTGGGATTCAGCTCGGTGGGACAGTGCGGATTTGGGAGAAAGCTTGGATTGGATTGATGCCTCATCTTGAGCTTCGCTTTCCCAAGAAAGAACATGCTCAACATAAAGACAGTATCTGTGCCATCTGCGCCTTTTCTTGACAAAAGTCTTGGAGTCTCAATTCCTTATTGTAGCTCACAGTGTGAGCCACTTCTCTCGCTGGCTCCTTGAAGTTGTTGCACATCTGTCTTCGATGAGCAAACATCAGGGAGGGCAAATAGTGCTTCCCCCATTTTCGGAACCTAAGAGGAAAATGCCAGAAGAAAGGCAAGAATTCACTTCAGATGGACTCACTGCTACATCTCTTCCTCTCGCACAAACAAAATCCAAAACACACATCCAATTTAGGAACCTTGACCCTCCTATCGCTCCAAACCAATCCGAACGGATCGCTTTCTTCTGTTTTCCACATCTGTCCTTTCATCGGTTTCCTCACGCTGCCGCCGAGGCGCGCGTTGATCTCCACTGCAGAGATGGCTTCCCCCTGGAGGTCCTTCAGGAGATCAGAGAGAAACCTC